AAGGCTGCAGTAAACGTTGAGAACCATTGCTGTAAAGCACCAACTATGCATTTGCACTGAGGTGGTCGAGTCAGATAATCGCATCGGGAAAAGCGGAGTGCAGCGCCGTGATGCATCACACCTCGAGTTGTATTCGTTCTGTGCCCAAACCACGAGGATCGAGGGTTAATTAGTCACTTGCACAATGCACTCTTTCCATCTCAATGCCAGACGCACAACCGGAGGTTTTTGGCAGTAGCGTGTGGTGCTCGCCGAATACGAGCCACAATCAGGGTCCGTTGCGTTGCAGCGAAAAGGAGATGAGGAACACGGGAGCGGAGCGTGACTCGACGCGTCACTTGCAATACGCGATTAATTAACAAATCACCGCCACCAAATGCTGACAGCGGCGATATCCTGAGTGGTCTCTGGACAGTCGCTACTTATTGGAGACACAATTGAAATTCAACAATTGAAGTTGCACGAGAAAACACGGCGTTGAACATGTAAGATAAAACTGTATACGAATTCGTGGCTTGAAAATGGGTGAATTTTAATATTTGTTTAACAAAGGCGTTATGAATTAAATAATAATATGTATTTGTTTGAAGTTTGACTTAACATGCATTCAAAATGCACGTTGAGTCAAAATACGTATAGATTTGGCTGGGTTGCCTGGTTTATTTTCAACATGCAGGTGATACACGTGGTGTCTTTTTAAAGAGAGACGTCGGGTTACAAAAACACTAAAACAGACAAATAATAATAATAATTGCACAACAATAAATTTAAGCGCAAAATATCACAAATAAAATATCGTGAATTATCAAAACGATTTAGACAAATGTGAATGTCAGTGTATACTATCCCGTTACGCATTACACTTCAGGCACAATTTCAAATATTCTCAATTCGTTGGATTGAATAAACAATTCGCAACCAAACCAAAAATATCTCTGCACTTGGAAATTCACCACAGTGCTATGAATTTATATACATTTTATCACTTGCTCAGGACCACATCATATATATATAAAGCACACAATGTATATGAATAAATAGTATTGGCACTCATTATTGTGGTCGAATATATATATAAGAATGAAATGAATCAACGAACAATAGAACCACCAATGGGAAACAAGTGGGTTATTTTTTTGTTTTGCATTTCACCCGCTATCGTTTTTTTTCCTATCAATTCTCATTAAAAGCTACGATCGCTGCTATAGTAACGGCAAAGTGGTGGGTTGGAAGTAATGGTTACCTCAATGGGAGAGCGCTCGCCTCCACGCAGGAGTAGGGTATGAATGGATTCGAGTTGAGTGGCTCCTTGTGACGCAGAACGCGCAGGGCGAGTCGGCGCTTTCAGGCGTGGAGCGAGCGAGGCCCACTCAAGGCGCAACAGCAAACAAAAGGGAGTCTCGGTGGGAGTCTCGGTGGGAGTCTCGGTGGGTGTCTCGGTGGGTGTCTCGGTGGGAGTCTCGGTGGGTGTCTCGGTGGGAGTCTCGGTGGGAGTCTCGGTGGGAGTCTCGGTGGGTGTCTCGGTGGGACTCTCGGTGGGTGTCTCGGTGGGAGTCTCGGTGGGAGTCTCGGTGGGAGTCTTTGGTGGGAGTCTCGGTGGGTGTCTCGGTGGGAGTCTCGGTGGGAGTCTTCGGTGGGAGTCTCGGTGGGTGTCTCGGTGGGAGTCTCGGTGGGAGTCTCGGTGGGAGTCTCGGTGGGAGTCTCGGTGGGTGTCTCGGTGGGAGTCTCGGTGGGAGTCTCGGTGGGTGTCTCGGTGGAGTCTCGGTGGGAGTCTCGGTGGGAGTCTCGGTGGGAGTCTCGGTGGGAGTCTCGGTGGGAGTCTCGGTGGGTGTCTCGGTGGGAGTCTCGGTGGGAGTCTCGGTGGGAGTCTCGGTGGGAGTCTCGGTGGGAATTTTCGGTGGGAGTCTCGGTGGGAGTCTCGGTGGGAGTCTCGGTGGGAGTCTCGGTGGGTGTCTCGGTGGGAGTCTCGGTGGGAGTCTCGGTGGGAGTCTCGGTGGGAGTCTCGGTGGGTGTCTCGGTGGGAGTCTCGGTGGGAGTCTCGGTGGGAGTCTCGGTGGGAGTCTCGGTGGGAGTCTTCGGTGGGAGTCTCGGTGGGTGTCTCGGTGGGAGTCTCGGTGGGAGTCTTCGGTGGGAGTCTCGGTGGGTGTCTCGGTGGGAGTCTCGGTGGGAGTCTCGGTGGGAGTCTCGGTGGGAGTCTCGGTGGGAATTTTCGGTGGGAGTCTCGGTGGGAGTCTCGGTGGGAGTCTCGGTGGGTGTCTCGGTGGGTGTCTCGGTGGGTGTCTCGGTGGGAGTCTTTGGTGGGTGTCTCGATGGGAGTCTTCGGTGGGTGTCTCGGTGGTGTCTCGGTGGGAGTCTCGGTGGGATGTCTCGGTAGGTTGTCTCGGTGGGAGTCTCGGTGGGAGTCTCGGTGGGAGTCTTTGGTGGGAGTTTCGGTGGGAGTCTCGGTGGGACTCTCGGTGGGGTCTCGGTGGGAGTCTCGGTGGGAGTCTCGGTGGGAGTCTTGGTGGGAGTCTCGGTGGGGGTCTCGGTGGAGTCTCGGTGGGAGTCTTCGGTGGGAGTCTCGGTGGGAGTCTCGGTGGTGTCTCGGTGGGAGTCTCGGGGGGAGTCTCGGTGGGAGTCTCGGTGGGTGTCTCGGTGGAGTCTCGGTGGGAGTCTCGTGGGAGTCTCGGTGGGAGTCTCGGTGGGTGTCTCGGTGGGAGTCTCGGTGGGTGTCTCGGTGGGAGTCTCGGTGGGTGTCTCGGTGGGAGTCTCGGTGGGTGTCTCGGTGGGAGTCTCGGTGGGAGTCTCGGTGGGAGGTCTCGGTGGGAGTCTCGGTGGGAGTCTCGGTGGGAGTCTCGGTGGGAGTCTCGGTGGGAGTCTCGGTGGGAGTCTCGGTGGGAGTCTCGGTGGGAGTCTCGGTGGGGGTCTCGGTGGGAGTCTCGGTGGGAGTCTCGGTGGGAGTCTCGGTGGGAGTCTCGGTGGGAGTCTCGGTGGGAGTCTTCGGTGGGAGTTCTCGTGGGAGTCTCGGTGGGAGTCTCGGTGGGTGTCTCGGTGGGTGTCTCGGTGGGTGTCTCGGTGGGAGTCTTTGGTGGGTGTCTCGATGGGAGTCTTCGGTGGGTGTCTCGGTGAGTGTCTCGGTGGGAGTCTCGGTGGGAGTTTCGGTGGGAGTCTCGGTGGGAGTCTCGGTGGGAGTCTCGGTGGGAGTCTTTGGTGGGAGTTTCGGTGGGAGTCTCGGTGGGAGTCTCGGTGGGAGTCTCGGTGGGAGTTTCGGTGGGTGTCTCGGTGGGAGTCTCGGTGGGAGTCTCGGTGGGAGTTTCGGTGGGTGTCTCGGTGGGAGTCTCGGTGGGAGTCTCGGTGGGAGTCTTTGGTGGGAGTTTCGGTGGGAGTCTCGGTGGGTGTCTCGGTGGGTGTCTCGGTGGGAGTCTCGGTGGGAGTCTCGGTGGGTGTCTCGGTGGGAGTCTCGGTGGGAGTCTCGGTGGGTGTCTCGGTGGGAGTCTCGGTGGGAGTCTCGGTGGGAGTCTCGGTGGGTGTCTCGGTGGGAGTCTTCGGTGGGTGTCTCGGTGGGAGTCTCGGTGGGAGTCTCGGTGGGAGTCTCGGTGGGTGTCTCGGTGGGACTCTCGGTGGGTGTCTCGGTGGGAGTCTCGGTGATGCCCGCGCCCCACCGACCAGAGCTGCTACGTTATACGATGACAATACAACGCGTTTCCATTGCGGGTTTCTGTTGATGTCACACACAGCAACAACAAACATAACAATACAACGCGTTTACATTGCGCGTTTCTGTTGGTGTCACGCATACACAACAATAAGAACAATAAGAACAATTCCACGTTAAGTTTGCCTAGAAAGGCAGGTTATATACGATCATATTAATATAGTACGATCATATATACCGTACTGGATATTGAAAAAAATGCCCAAGACAGCGTTTATTTGTTAAACGGGTTTGACTTTTAAACAACTTTATTGCGGCCAGCAGCAACAGCACTGGAGGCGATTCATAGAGATACGGATCGCTTTGATAAATCGTAAAAGTGAACATTAAAATTGCACAATAACTCGAAGAAATATTGTTGTTTTGCACATTCTGTACATGAAACCCCCGTATACATCGTGAAGTTTCTATGGATTATACATTCGCCTAGTTTAGAATTTCAAATCATGCAATTTTAAATGAAATTATAGAAAAGCGTATACTTATCATAATAATAGTATCAGAGTCCACAAGGCATTTTTCTGAAGTGGACCAATTTTACGCATTTCACAAATTGAACTGTTATGGAATTTAAACTGCGGGTATCGGGGGGAAATTGGAGCGCAGCTGCAAATACAATGAGCGAATTACGCGCAAATGAAAGCCATAATGATGTCACCAACTGCACCTATATTGAAGCACTTCTCCCCGTAACCTGGATATGGGGCCTTTTGTACGAGCCATCGTGCGTGTGCGTGTGTGCACGCGTGTGTGTGCGCGCGTGTGTGTGCGCGCGTGTGTGCGCGTGTGTGCGTGCGCGCGTGTGTGTGCGCGCGTGTGCGTGTGTGCGTGTGTGCACGCGTGTGTGTGCGTGTGTGTGCGTGTGTGTGCGCGCGTGTGTGTGCGCGCGTGTGCGTGTGTGCGTGTGTGCGTGTGTGCACGCGTGTGTGTGCGTGTGCGTGTGTGTGCGTTTGTGTGCCCGTCCGCAGCACGCGTTCACTCTGCGTCCCCCGGGCGCAGAGTCGTTCTCGACAGGGGCATGATGGGCTCCGATTGCGAATCACAGCACGTCGCTCTGATGAGCCGTGAAATGGTGCAATCAATCAATTTGCGAAAATGAAGTAAAGACGGGAGGGGAAGAGAGAGAGAGAGAGAGAGATAAATAAAACCACGGCAATGGCTCGCATTTTGCGCGCAAACGATACGTCACACGCCCACTTCTGAACACCCATCATCACCACCACCACCACCAACCCCTCCCTCCACTCCATCCCTCTTCTAGCGCCCCCCCCCACCCCGTCCCTCTACCCCACGCACCCCCCGCTCTATCCAACTCGCACCTCTTCCTGCGCAATGCTCGTGCGTGACGAGAGCATGGGCAGGAGACTGCCGCCAATAACGGAAAGTTGAGCGACTCCCCCCCCCCTCCACCCATTCTGCTGCTGCGCGGAGCCAAGCGCTCTCCGTGCGCGCGCTCGGCACTCGGAAAGCGGGGACAACGGGAGAGAGAGAGAGGAGAGAGTGCCAGATCTAATTTCTCGATTGCATGCCCCGTCCTATAGTTCTACGCGAACGATTTACGCATAGCGACAGTTGCTCTCATACGCGCGTTTTTGTTGCGTTTCTGCAAAATCCACACACACACGCACACGCCCCACGCCATAACAACCTGCATGGGCAGAGCGCAGCAGCCCAGCTCTTCCAAATCGCACGCCGCTCAGCTGTAGCGGAGCCAACCCAAAAACAAATTTCCACCGCCAGCCCGTAGACGATTCATCCGAGGCCCGTCCAAGTTGAAAATCCTCGCCGCACACCATGGCCACGCTCAGGAACAAGCTGTCGGGCGTTGCCTCGGAGGTGAAGGCGAAGTCGACGTCCAAAGTCAGTGGCCTCTTCGCGCGCGCCGGGTTCCAGGCGACCACAGACGAGGAAGGGGTGAGCTTCGCCCAGTGCGACGTGCTCGACTACGACCACCGCCACGGGCTCATGGAGATGGACACCCTCAAGGGAGACGGTGCCGGTCCCAGCGGCGAGGGTGACGCCGGCGAGGGTGGCTGCGAGGCGGCTGCGGGCGGTGACGCTGGAGAGGGCGAGCTGTACCAGCAGGGAGGGCGCCCGGTGAAACGCAACAGCGGCGGCGGCGGCGGCGGTGGCGATGGGGGAGGCTGCGGAGAATTCGGCTACACCGAGGACGGGAAGCCACAGATCACATCGTGGGACGCCGGGTGGAACGTCACCAATGCCATCCAGGTGGGCACCGATGCACGATGTGGGGAGGGGAGGTGGGGTGGGGGGGTTAGCGCGAGGTCCAGATGGGTGCAAAAATCACTCACGAATGCAACTGGCCGAACGATACAAATTGCGGGGCAATCGTGACGATGATTGTCACGATACTCGGTGTCTTATTTTTTATCGGATAAAAGGGCGTTGTTATTATTGTTGTCATCCTAGATTAATTAGAAATTATATTTTTCGAATGGTGAGATTACCTATATTAGCCTAACGTTTTAGGCAATGGTACTTCTTCAGAGCAGAGAGAGGGCACAGAGAGCTTGACTGACTTATGGTGGGACGTAGCTTTTTATTACACTGACGAGCACTGAGAAAACTCGCACACAATTGGCATGGCTCGCAAAGCGAGTATTAGTCATTAAACGCATTACACAAACGTGGAGCCAGAATTGATGATTGAAAGAAAGAGAGGCAGAAATGGGCACGCCTCTTTCTCGGGAGGCTTGCAATCTGCAAAAGGACGGTCTGGTTTCAGAAGAATCTTAGAGGTTGTTGTGCTCAAAATTAGACGCGGATTAAGGAATTGTGTGGGCAGTAACTGAGGCATTCCGTCAACATTCCCAGCGAAGCTTCAGTCGATGGGAAGTCACCACTTCTCTGCAAGCTGCTCTCATTGTCTGAAATTCGTATTCTCCGCAGTGCCCAAACGTTAAATTTCGATTTAAAGCTTTCGTGACTGCAGGGATTCATCTTCTTGGTTCTTTCGGTAAAGTCACGTAGAAGGGAAATAATAAAATAATAAAAATAAAACATAATAAAATAATTCTCACGACGTTTCGGTCTGTCTCCCCGACAGACCTGGTCTTCACCTGAGGACGGCTGCTTGCGTTGTGGCCGAAACGTCGTGAGAATAATTTTATTGTGTTTTATATTTATTATTTTATTATTTCCCTTCTACGTGACTTTGCCCAAACGTTCTTCCTCTCTAAGAGTCGAACCCGACCTATTATTATTAATCTCGAACTGAACTCTCTCTCTCTGTTCTCTGCAAATTGATTTTAATTCGCATTTCCTTCACGATATTTTTCCTTCCCTTACTGGCGCAGTAGCCTTCTACTCTTTAGCTAATAAAAAAAAGCCTTCCAAATATATTGACGCACGTTCCCCAAGTCATACCGTTTTGAAATGTAGCTCCCATTTTACACTTCATGCATCGAAACGTAACTGTCACATTTTTCACCAGGCAAAATCCACCGCTATTATCTCTCGTTTCAGAGGCGACCTGCCCACACGGATAGCACAACGAAGTGGCTTATCATCATATGCGGGGATTTATAGTAACGCAATTATCTGAAGGCATATTTCTAAATGTGTGGGGCAAACCCGGAGGACCCGGAGTAAAATCCACGCGACCACAGAGAGAACTTGCGAACTCCAAATGCGCAGGCATCGTCAGGGTCGGGATTAGAACCCGCGATCCCTCCTGCACAGCAGGCGGCGCCCGGACCGTTTAATTGACGACGTACATCGAGCATCTCCGCATAATGACTTACTAACAATAATCTAAATAGCCTCGGTCCATTAAGAGGAAACGGAATGAGTCACGGTGATTAATTATCATCGCTGAGCACAAAGAACAAATGGAAAGCGAATAGCGCTGCCTACGTCTCTTGCACAAACTCAGTGTGCCTTAAGCAATCCGATCGTAACCCACACAGCAATACATATTCTTAGGTTTTTTCGGTAAAATTTAAATTTTTTACCTACGTGACTTTACCAAAAAAACCTAAGAATATGAATCCTTGCAGTCACGAAAGCTTCAAATCTAGCAGCAATACATGTTTTTTTTACGCCAACAATAATGCCATGCATCCTACCATTATGTGTATTTATATTATATATATATCAACTCGTGCCACTTATGTTTAATCCTTGCTCGCGAGAGACGAAAAACGCACGCGGAGACGCCGTGCGCTTCGGGTGTCGAGTCCAGGAGCTATTGATATAGAGGAGGCGCTTGTAACCTCGAGAGGTTCCTTCTTTTGTGCCCTAAATTAATTGAAAGATGGGGGGGGGGGACCGTGCCCTCTGGGGGAGCTGGCGGGGGTGGTGGGGGGTGGTTGGAGCACTCCCCTGGTGGTCGGTGCGCTCCCCTGATAACGCTTATCTCTTCAGCGCACCTTCTCCGGCCGCCCCTTCGCCTTATTTATTAACGAATAGAATCAATCGACGAGGCATCATTATCATCCTTTGAATGACCCCTTTATTTTCAATTAAGAGAAGATTTATGCGCATTACGTGTGTTTTAGAGAATGCGCATCGCATTAGCAGATACTGTGTATATATATAGATGTATATTCTTACGCCAAAGAGCCAACTTACATTTTCGCATTCCGTTTTATTTAAATGTACATGTTTTTAAAAAATCACATTCTTCGTACTTAAACGCCCAATCTTGTTTATATAATAGTGCAAATATCGTCACGATAAAATATATGCAGCCCAGTTGTACGCATGTGATATGTAAAGATATCGCGTTGTTGTACCATGGCGTGTTTCCATTAGTCGTACATTTAAATGTAAACGATCAATGTGCAATTCGATGAGTAATATTAGGAACATGATGACGAATTGCAGCGCATGTGTTAACATATACACTGTGAAATTGATGAGTCTCATATTAAAACGAATCGTGAAACTCGTTCAGCAAACGCACAAATGTGAATTTCGTCTACAGGAGAGTGGATAATAGAGCTCCACTCATTCACACGAGTCGAACCCTATTATCAGTGAATCAAGCGTGGGCAGCGCTCACTTAAATCAGGCGTGGGCGAGTTAATTGAATGTTGACTTCACTGAGCGACAAGTGAATGGGAGAGGGGACGCTTATGAGCAGAAATAAAAGCACCCTTACCATTTGGCTCGAGTGTCAGCTTTGAATTCGCCCACCCATCCACCGTCTGCATTATCATTACAACAAAGCGCACACACGCACACACGCGCACGGCCCTGTAATCATGCTTCACGCGTGCGCATCTCCAGGGCATGTTCGTGCTCGGCCTGCCGTACGCCATCCTGCACGGGGGCTACTTGGGCCTCTTCCTCATGACGTTCGCCGCCGTGGTGTGCTGCTACACGGGGAAGATCCTCATCGCGTGCCTGTACGAGGAGGACGAGGACGGGCAGCTGGTGCGAGTGCGCTCGTCCTACGTGGACATCGCCAACGCGTGCTGCTCCCCGCGCTTCCCGCGTCTCGGCGGCGTCGTGGTGAACGCGGCTCAGCTCATCGAACTCCTCATGACGTGCGTCCTCTACGTGGTGGTGAGCGGCAACCTCATGTACAACAGCTTCCCGAACGTGCCCATCTCGCAGCGCTCCTGGTCGGTGATCTCCACCGTCGTTCTGCTGCCGTGCGCCTTCTTGCGCAACCTCAAGGCCGTCTCCAGGTTCAGCCTCCTGTGCTCGCTCACGCACTTCGTCATCAACTTCCTCGTCATCGGCTACTGCCTCACCAGGGCCAGGTACTGGGCCTGGGACAAGGTCAAGTTCTACATCGACGTCAAGACGTTCCCGGTGTCCATCGGCATCATCGTGTTCAGCTACACGTCGCAGATTTTCCTGCCGTCGCTCGAGGGCAACATGAAGAAGCGAGAGGAGTTTCACTGCATGATGAACTGGACGCACGTGGTGGCGTGCGTTCTCAAGTCCATGTTCGCCCTGCTCGCCTTCCTCACGTGGGCCGACACGACCCAGGAGGTGATCACGGACAACCTTCCGGCCACCTTCAGGGCCGTGGTCAACATATTCCTGGTCGCCAAGGCTCTCCTCTCCTACCCGTTGCCCTTCTTCGCCGCCGTCGAGGTCTTCGAGAAGTCGTTCTTCGCCGACACGAGGGAAGTGCTCTTCCCAAGTTGCTACGCGATCGAGGGTCGACTCAAGAGCTGGAGCCTCGGCCTGCGGTGCTTGCTGGTGGTCAGCACGCTGCTCATGGCCATCTACATCCCCCATTTCGCTCTGCTCATGGGCCTCACTGGGAGCCTCACGGGCGCCTCGCTCTCGTTCCTGCTGCCCTGCCTCTTCCACCTGCGCCTCATGTGGCGACAGCTCAAGTGGCACCAGGTCTTCTTCGACGTGTCCATCTTCGCCGTCGGCTTCATCTGCAGCCTCTCTGGTTTAATCAACTCGGTGCAGGGATTGGTCGAGGCGTTTCAAAGCGACGAGGACGAGTGAGTCGCATTTGGTAGCGGCACTCTGCACGAGCGTGTACTTTAGCGCAAAGTCAACGAGCTGAGTACGGAACCTAGCGAAAGGCCAGGTCTTAATGTATAAGGCGCGGTGAGTAAGTTCGGTATTGTAGCCACGGCAGGAGAGATGAAACCTGTACAGAATCAGATTCTTCTATATGAATAATTTAAATGGGAACTAGAAAAATTTACGTGTTATCTCGGTGCAAAAGAAAAGACACTACGTTCATGTTTTTTTTTGCAATTGCTTATATCGTATAATGTAAAATAAAAAAAAAAGTGTAAAGTGCACATTTTATTGTTGTTCCAATGCAGCCTCTGTTTTCAAATGAATGTGGTGCAATCGGTGTTATGGGACAAGTCTGTGTATCATAAACCAGAAATAAAGCCGTGTGAAAATTTTGGTGGCTGTTTGCCCGTTATTTCTTGCGGCGGAAAAAAAAAACAAAAATCTCCTCCGTGTGTATTTCCAGGCAATGATGCCTCCCCATCTCTGCGCGAGGAAGAGTCAATTTGCCCATTCGCCTGCAGTGCTGCCGATGCTGTCGCGGGGCGCATTGGTTACCATGCAAAACTTACAAATTAAGAGAGTCGCTGGTTTGATTCTCCAGTGCGGCAGTTGAAAAAAATTAGCACGTTTCATGCATATTCTTGGTTCCTTCGGTAAAGTCACGTAGATAGAAAAATAATAACATAATTTTTTTTTAAAAATAAAAATACATTGAAAATAATAAAAGCAAAAAAACCCACGGTGTTTCGATCGCAACACAAGCGGTCTTCATCGGGCGGCATTTTACGCGGAGCGGATGTACACCGCAGTTGGCATTGTGCGTGTGCTGGGGTGAATCGTGGGTACTCCCACTTCTTCAAAGACGCTTGCTCAACGTGGAAGACGATGTCGAATGCCCTCTACGCCAGTGGTTCTTCTTAACCTGGGGGTGCGAGGCACGGCCAGATTGTTTTAAAAAATTAAGCACGAGTACGTAAGTAGAACTACATTGTTTCATTGAAGCCACGTATTTATTAACATGAACATTTTTTTCCGTAACGATTGAGAATCAAAGAGTTGCAAGGCTGCAGTCGTGATGAAGAACCGCTGCTGTGGAGGAGGCTGCTGCTTTCAGCGGTTGTGCGAGCAAGCGATCGTAAGGGACTGCACCTTCCTTTCCATGTTGCGTACGGGCCTATCCCGCTACCATCTTTTTTGGAGGATCGTAATCGCGAAAAAAATGTTAAAAAAAACTAAACTACAAACAGGCTCATTTTACGCTTTTGCACATTTGCTGAACCGAAACGAATTGCTGGCACGTCGCCACTCGGGGCGAGAATGGTTTGCGATGCAGTCGTCGGGGTTAACGTCACCGCTGTGGCCGCTCGGAGGAAGAAACAAAATCCAACTCCGGCGACTCGAGTTGGATTCCGTTGACGCCTCCAAACACGCTCGGTGAGTTGAATCCATCTGTGCGGAGCTCTCTTTTGTTGTGCGTTTTGTTTTAAACGTGGTGGATGTTCTTCGGGTGAGTCAGGTTCTAACCGCAATTAAAGCGGACGCTGATTCGTCGTGGATTGAAGTCAAACATCCCATTGTTCTCCTGCAAACGCATTGTGAAACTCAGCAATTATTTCCTGAATAAAGGCTGGTACTACTACTATGACCACCTATTTTTACAATTAAACCGAATGCTTAAATGCGTTTTTTGGAAGTGTAAGATAATCTGGAGTGAAGTCAAAAGTGATTTACTTATCAAATGAGTCATCGCTCACTCGTCTCCCGTCTCCAGCACTGAGCCAGTGATGAAAATTCCACGTTCGTATGGTGGGTGCGAGTCTATCTTTAGGCCAGCCTGGTGTTGAATTCCCCACATCGTGGTACTTACTTTACCGACCCCGGAGAGATGATGAGCCGAGTTAACCTCTCCAACGAGGATGTGACCTTGCAGCTTCCATTATTGCGAGCGGCTCGCTCAACCGCTGAGCCACTGGACCGGGTTCCCGTGGCAGTAGTCGTCGTAAGGGAGGGAGGTTTCGCAAAGATTCAACGCAGCAGGAGCTAGCGATATGCACGCTATAGACATTGCAAAGCGCACTGAGCCACGGCGACACGAGAATTGTCCGCTCACGGGAGCAGCCTTCCGTTCCGCCGACCGCTGGGTTTAACGGAGTGCAAAAACTGCATTTGACGCCACTGAAATTCGTCCGTTCTTCGAGGGGCGAGTGCAGCAGGATGGCAAGAGAAGCTTACGGTAATCCCACAGATGACAGCCGCGATCCTTCTCGTGTTTTCACTGCGTTCCCATGATCTCCTCCTCCCCGCCCCCCTCCCCCCGAATTTCAAAGCTGCACGTATCTCGCCAAGAATCTCAAGCTCGCCGTAGTTGTTTCTGGACGCGACTACAACATGCGGTTTTGTTTGTGTGGTTTATTGTCAACACTGAACATCGCGCACTGACACACGGAATCGTTTAATATCTCTCTACTGGAAGGCATGGGTTAGTTTTTTTTTATATTTGAACTTGTCACGCACTCATACATATATTTGTCTTTATTGGATTGGTGTTCACGTGAATTACGAATGTATATATCTTCATGGCGAATTTGTCTAGATCATTGCGATATTTAAAATGGAAGCGGACTGATTTGAAGGCTTACCGAATGATTAGCCTCCAATCTCACATTTATAAATTATTCTAGAGCATTGGAAAAGTAATACTAATATATTTAATACAAACCTATTACATTAGAAGGCCGGATTTATAAAAGGAGTGTTATACCAATAATCATATATGTACATAGAATCAATCATATCCGAGAATGATCAAATACATGGGCGGAGTTTGCGGTGAGCAACTGGGCACATGTATTAATTTATTTTCAGTAGTTTACAATTAAGATTTAAAATAAATTAATGATATGCATCCGCGATTCCTAATGCAGAGGACAAAGCGACCCCTGCCTCCCCCCCCCCAAACATCGAAGTAAAACTCTGCCGATGATCAAATGCCATTACGAAATGCCATCGTGCATGGCTTTCATAGACTACGGAAATGCATTTGATTCGGTGACCACGGATGCGTTCATCCAAGCTCTCACAATCCAAGGCGTTCATAAAAAATGTCGAAATAATTAAAACATTGATAGATATATATACACAACTACGACGGTCGAACTGAGCCTGCTGTAAGGAAGCAACGAAATGAGAAGAGCAGTCACGCCAGAAGATATCAGCATCTTTATTTCGAGTAGAGGAATCCGAAGAGCTATGAAGCACTTTATCACGTGCTCTATGTGCAATGTGGGTGGGTGAGCAACGTTAGAAGATAGTTTTCGATACAACTGGATTGAATGAAAAAATATAACAACGGCACATATTCTTGGTTTTTTCGGTAAAGTCACGTAGAAGGGAAATAATAAAATAACAATACAACATAATAAAATAATTCTCACGACGTTTCGGCCACAACGCAAGCAGCCGTCCTCAGGTGAAGACGCTGTCTCCCCGACAGACCTGGTCTTCACCTGAGGACGGCTGCTTGCGTTGTGGCCGAAACGTCGTGAGAATTATTTAATTATGTTTTATTTTTATTATTTTATTATTTCCCTTCTACGTGACTTTACCGAAAGAACCAAGAAGATGAATCCCTGCAGTCACGAAAGCTTTAAATCGAAATTTAACGGCACATATATAAATGGGGACAACGCGAACCATTTGAGATTTCCAAACGACGAAGTCACGATCAGAATCGATGGAAGTTAACTGCAGCAAATGATTGCAGAACTTGTCAAAAGAAATGTAAATGTAAGCAATTGTCACGCACAACACATTTGCCAAACAAGCGAAAATAATTGTTGGATGGACTGGAAACGCAGCAGAATATGTTTACCTTGGGCAATTATTGAAGGCGGATTGGGACAAAACTGATCAAATTGCTTCCATCGATTGCTTTTGGAAAGCTGAAATTGATAATGAAAACATTACTACTACGAATACAAACATGAGAATCAGCACACATGAATGTTGCTTCGGGCTTCGGCCTTCGTGACGCAATCATGGACGGTGACGAAAAAATTGGAACGAACGATGAAAAGTGCGCGGGGTATGCGTGGTGAGATGCAAGCTGGGAATCACACCGAGAGGCAGGAAGTAAACGCAAATTAGACATCGTATTAAATTAATAATAAAATATATTAAATCACGACTTTCGATTGCAACACACGCAGTCATCATCGGGTGGGAAGCCCACAGCAATAAATTGTTTTTGCCGAAGTGGGAGAGAGATGCCGTGATAGGTTATAAAACATTTTCTTGCTGTGGTTTTCCCACCTGATGATGATTGCGTGTGTTGCAATCGAAACGTCGTGATTTTATTGATTTTATACTTACGTGACTTTACAGAAAGAACCAAAGAGTATGGATCCCTGCAGTCACGATCGTATTGACCGTTAAGCAGAATATGCGAGCTTGGTCGGAGCACACAGCTGTAAGAGAAGCGAGCTCAGTGAGTAAGACTGGCGACGAACAACGCACGAGGCGACGACCACTGCGGAGATGGAGCGATGAGATTTCGCTCACCGTGCAAGAGAAGGACTCTGGCATCATAAGACAGCGAGAGAAGAGATGCGGCAGTGGATAGAACATATACGTAGACGGTGCTGAGATTGTGTACAACTGTGGATGAAAATGCAACGTAGCAAACCATCACACAGGCATCTTTTCAGATAAAACTAGCAACGGCGCGTAGAATAGTGGGTTCGCCCCAAACATAATTCACACGTTACACCCATTCATTTCCAATCAATTCAAGTGTAAGCTCGCCTATGCTTCCCGCAGCGCGATTTTAGAGTTACCCCCCTCCCCCCCCCAACGTCTCTATGTTCATATAATTTTGCGTAATTAAAACAAGTTTAATTGTACTATTTGTTGCTGGCCGCTTGGCGTTTTTTGGGAGTCTTTGGCATGCGCTCAGCAACAGTGGTAAATTATAATCATGATGACGGATGTTTCTTGCCAAATTCGGCTGCTTTGCGCTCGGGCTGAACGATTTTGGGAAAATATCTAATTGCGATTTTTCTGACAGATATTGCTATTACATTTTTTAAAGTCACGCTTCAGTTCAATATGCACTGTGTAATAGATTTTAAAACATGTGATGGAGCATTAGCACATGATACCATCAAAATATGAACTGCTCTATATATTCTAATGCAAGGATGATAACTTAAAATATATGAATTGCTTCCAATGTATTTATTAAAATGTTTTAATTGAAATAGAACAATCAAAAATAGAACAATTGTTAAGTGAAATAATTAAAGACGCGCTAAAAATCTATTAATCGTTCAGCCCTACTTTGCGCCCATCAGCCGAGGCCAACCGTGATGGGAAGGGTGCAATTAATTCTAGA